GAACACTGCAGTCTGCTGTCCAAATTGCCACTAACCATCAAAATTACCTTCTTTGGGACTTTCCCCTTTTTGAAAGGACACTGATGATTATTTTAGTTTGACTTTACTGAGACTGGTATGTTTCAGTTTGGGATTTTGGAAAAGCTCAATCCAACTAAGTGATACTTTTCACTAGATACTCCAAATTGTATTTATTCATTTACCTAATCTATAGTTAACGACTGTGTCCTACATGCTTGTGATAGTTCTGTATACTGAAGGTACAAGCAGTAAATAAGTCACATAATTTTCCTAGTGGAGCTTTTATTCTTGTGGGAAAGAGAGGCAATATGCAATACATGATTTAGATGATAGATAAATAGATAGATACAGACACACAGACAGGTGGTTGTGTATGTTACATAGAATAAAGCATGTTAGAAGATAGAAGTTACTGGTAATAGGGAAATGAATAATGAGAAAGCGGGCAGTGAAATATGTCTATATCAAAAGGACTACAGACCTAAATGTAAAATGCAAAACTATAAAATTCCTAGAATATAGGAGAAAATCTATATGACTGTGGGTTTGCTGATGACTTTTTAGATACAGCACCAAATGCACAATCCGTGAAAGAAAAAAAATGATTAGCTAAACTTCATTAAAATAAAAAATCTGCTCTGTGAAAGACACTGTTTAGAGAACAAAAGATAAGCCACACACTGGGAGAAAATATTTGGAAAAGACATACCTGATAAAGGACTGTTATCTAAAATATATGAAGAGCTCTTAAAATTCAATAATCAGGGAAACAAGCCACCTGATAAAAAATAAACTAAAGACCTTAGCAGATACCTCACCAAAGAAGATAGCTGGCAAATAAGCATATGAAAAAATGTTCCACATTATATGCCATCAGGGAAATGCAAATCAAAACAACAGTGAGATACCACTACATGCCTATTAGAATGACCAAAATCTGAAACAGTGGCAACACAAAATGCTGGGGGAGGGTATGGAGCTATAGGAACTCTCATTCATTGCTAGTGGGAATACAAAATGGTAGAGCCATTATAAAAGACAGTTTAGAAGTGTCTTTTATATGTGTGTGCTATATCTATATCTATAATTATACGACACTCAAAAAGCTGTGCAAATTTAATGTATGCAACCTGATGACCTGATGATTTTGGAGATAAGCATACACATATACACCTGTGAAACCATTCCCACAATCTATACCATAAACATATCCATAACCTCCAAAAGTTTCCTTCCACCCTTTTAATGTATTATCATCATTTGCGTGATAAAAACTTAACATAAGATCCCCTCTTAGCGATTTTTTAAGCATAAAATACTTGTCAGAAAACTAAACATATTCTTATCATATAATCCAGCCATTGCACTCCATGGTATTTTCTCAAATAAGTTGAAAACATATGTCCTTGCAAAAAGCTGCACATGAATGTTTATAGCATCTTTATTCATTATTGCCAAAATTTACAGTCAACTAAGGTGTCTTTGGGTATATGAATGGATAAATAATCTATGGTACATCTAGACAATGTAATATTATTCAGCGCTAAAAAGAAATGAGCTATCAAGACATGAAAAGACATAGAGGACTATTAAATGCATATAACTAAATGAAAGAAGCCTGCCTGAAAAAGCTACCTATTCTATGATTTCAGCTATATGACTCTGGAGATAGTAAAAAGATCAGTGGTTGCCAGACATAAAAGGGAAGGATAGAATGAAACAGTAAAGCACAGAGGATTTTTAGGGCAATGAAATTACTCTGTATGATACCGTAAGGGTTGATATATGTCATCATACATTTAAAAAAAACATAGAATGTACACCACCAAGAGTGAAACCTAATATAAATTATGTGTTTTGGGTGATAATGATACATCAATGCAGGCTTATTAATTGTAACAAATACACTACTCTGGTGGCAGATGTTGACAAATGGGAGGAAAGCTATGCATGTGTGGCTATACATGCCATAAGTGGGAAATCTCTGCACCTTCTCATCAATTTTTCTGTGAACCTAAAAATGCTCTAAATATAAAATATGTCTGGAAAGGCAAAATTTAAGCTGAAAATAAATAATTTGGAGTCAGCAATATGAAGTTCTAGAACTGGGTTATAGGCAGAGGAAACAAGTTTGAAGCCTTGAAACTGTTATGATCTGTATAGTTAAATATAGAAAGAAATCCAGTGTGACAAGAGCATGGTAGACAATTTTGCTACCACATGAAGGCAGGTAAGTAGTCAGAAGCCAGATTATTAAAGCTAGAGCCAAAGAAAAGCTTATGTTAAATGTAACATCAGTACCTTAGAAGATTTAGAATAATAGAGAACATGATGATTTCTGTGGTGAGAATGGGATGTTGGGTGGTGGTGAGAGATGAAGTAGGCAGCTTTCCCTGCATTTAGGGGGCTTTGGGATTTCCAAGTGAAATATAATGGCTGATTAGACTTCTAGTGTAGAAGTGATAGAAATGGAGTGAAGTAGACCAATTCAAATATTTTGGTGGTAGCCAGGCAGGACTTAATAATAGATAAGCATGGTGAAAAAGAAAAAAGAAAGGAGAATTATGAATGACCCACCAATTTCTGATTGAATCACACGTTAAATGTCATCATCATTACTGAGTTGGTGAAAACCTGGGGAAAAAGGTTTGGGTGGAGAAGTATTGAGTTTTCTTTGGGACATGTTAATTTTGAGTTGTCTGGAAGACAGTCAAGCAGATGCTTTAACTTAATATTTGGACACATGATTTTGGAACTGAGTGGAAAAATCAGTACTGGATTTAAAATGTGGGTTTCAACAGAATACGAATGATGTATAAAGCCATGGGAATGGAATGGAATAATTTTAAAGAAATATATAGACAGAAAAGAGGGGTTAGGATAAAAAGGCACTGCAATTGGAACTCCAAGAGGTTGGGGGACGTTCGTGCATTTCAGTAGAATGGTAAAGGTAGGAGCTCAATTATTCTTACACTATACATTAAATTTTATTCTCAAACATGATTTTTGAATACCATGTTAGAAAATAATCTAAGGGCTTTGTTTTAGAGGAATAGGGGATTTTAAATGATTCCCTAAATCCTCAGAGAGATGCTAACATTTCCAGAAAATTTTGAAAATCTGAATATAGAATTTTACTTATAAGCAGAGGGAGAGGAAGAATGAGTTCTTGGAAGAGGGAGAGAAAATTGGGGCAGGATTTGACTCTTCATCATTACAGCTGATTCAGATATGCAAGATAAGACCACCTGAAAGACCACAAGTTACAAATGGCCATGAATCCTTCAGTAGTTGATGTAGGGTAACAGGGGCCAATGTTTAAAGACCAGGTAAGACAGTACCTCATTATTCATAGAAAGCTAGTTCTTGAAAACATGTGGAACTAGGAGTATCAAGGAGAAGCTTTATTTTGCATCCAGAATTTATATTGGAAGGGATAAAAAGGAAAGAAAATCACTTAGAAGGTTCTGCAACAATTTTGAGTTTACCTGAGAGAAGGTCAAAGAGATTTAATTGCTATTAGTTGGATATTTGAAGAGTTTTGCATTTTGCTTTATGTTGCTTTTTATTTTTCTTCACATTAATAGGACCTAAGGATCACAAGGGAGTTTAATATTGTTGTAAAGATGTAAAATTAATTGTTTTCACATCTAAATAATATATAGATGCTATCACTTTGCTAGACTCTGTTGAATTCTGGTGAATCTGGTTTTGTATATGTATTAGCAATTTATCAGGCATCACTTTAATATGCCTTATTTAAATTTATGTATGTTGGTAGTTTGGAAAATTTTGATTTTCATCTTATCTTAAATGGAGAGAAGCTGGCTACTATTTTCTGTTTGAAGAAAAAAAACCTCTTGATAAGTAATTGTTAAAGTTATCATGTATCATAAGTCAGTCTCCTCTCTCATAATTCTACTTAACTTTTTCATTGATACTTTTAAAGTCTTCATTCTGTGGTATTCTTGCCAAATTCATCAGTAATTTCTTATTAATGAGAAAGCCCAAAGTAAATGCTACTAAATTCTGCCAAATTCCAGTAAAAACATAGTCAGCAGATTACACAAATTTTTATAAGAATTATAGATTTCGGGGCGCCTGGGTGGCTCAGTTGGTTAAGCGACTGCCTTCGGCTCAGGTCATGATCCTTGAGTCCCAGGATCGAGTCCCGCATCAGGCTCCCTGCTCTGCAGGGAGTCTGCTTCTCCCTCTGACCCTCCTCCCTCTCATGCTCTCTGTCTCTCATTCTCTCTCTCTCAAATAAATAAATAAAATCTTTAAAAAAAAAAAGAATTATAGATTTCAATTCAAACTTTAAATTGACTCAATTATTGTTTAATCCAATTTGACTTAATATAAAACAAAACTAACTTACCAAGTGTGTTTATCTTGGCTCGGAAGTGGAACATTCAACATCCATCAACCTGGTTGTGGCTATTTACACTTCAGGGATGGTGGTATAGTTTCACAAGGAAATCATATTTTCTTTTTTTCTTTCTTTCTTTTTCTTTCTTTCTTCTTTTTTAAGGAATGCTACCTTTAATTTGTATTTATATTTGTATTTATTTGAAAGTACAGTTTCTGAAATTTTTTTGACTACCTCTGATTACTCCTGTGGTTCTTTATTTAAATCTGTGGATGCAGCTTCAGACTGTTTGATTATATAGATTGAACATCTGCCTCCTTGGATCTTTTTTTTAAGCCTTTATTTATTTATTTATTTATTATTATTTTTTGTATCCACAGATCCAGTGTCATTAATTTCTACATCCTGATTTGAATATTCTTCTTTGAATCTTTCTAAGCATCTTTCATTGAATCTTTCATATCCCCAAACTTAGCATAAATATCCTCCAAGTCCTTCAATGAATTCTCTCTTAATTTTTCATAACTTTCTCATATTTTTATGATGCTTTTCTGAATCTTTCTTTGTACTCTTCGCCCCATTTTAAAAATTATTTGATTAGTTCTTTGAATCCCCTTGTCACTCATATTCAGTTTCAGACTCCTAAAATTGTTTATCACATGCTTTCAAATTATTATTCAAGGCTTACTTGCCCTTCTTGGCATCCTTCTTGGCATCCTTCTTGGCATCCTTCTTGCCATCCTTCTTGCCATCCTTCTTGCCATCCTTCTTAGCATCATCCTTTGATTCAATATCTGTCCCACTGGCCTTCTTTTCTTCTTTCTTACCTTTTTTACTCCCCTTTCTCTTTGCATCTTTCTTGTCTTTTGATTGATCATCATTCTCTCCTGGTTTCTTTGTATCTCTTTTCCCATCCTTATCCTTCTTTGCCTCTTCAGATTCTGTAGACCCTTTGCCCTTCTTTGAACCTTTCTTGTCCTTTTTGGCATCTTTCTTGGCATCTTCAGATTCTGTAGCAGATTCCTTGCCCTTCTTTGAAGCTTTCTTGTCCTTTTTGGCATCTTTCTTGGTGTCTTTCTTTTCATCTTCAGATTCTATACCTGACTCCTTGCCCTTCTTTGAAGCTTTCTTCTCTTTCTTGGTGTCTTTCTTTTCGTCTTCAGATTCTGTACCTGACTC